CTAGTCGAATACGTAGACTTCTACAGGGCCTTCTAAGTAATGCGCGCCGGGTATAATTCAAACCTCTGCCCCCATCGGTACCATTACCCCTAAAGCAAATCGTCTCCAGGAGACGAAATTTTTACGGTAGGTGTACCGTGGTAGCCTTGAGTCAACACTTTGATTCTAAAAATGAATTGATAAGATAGAACAAACATATGAATGTTTGTTTACTACGTGCCATTGCTTTAGCTAGCCTTGCTTCGTAGTGCTGCCTGCGTGGGTGGGGAAACCGATTAATGCAAATCAATATTTAGGGTCAGCTGGCTAGGGCTTTCGTTCCGCCGCAAACAACCCAATGTTGATTCCATGATCCGTGGGGTCACTAAGGCCCAGATCGTTCAGCAGCCCTTCGGCCCAACCACTCCTCTTAAGGGAGGCTCCTTGTTTGAACTTGTAATCAACGCGGCGACTGAGGAAAACGAGGCATTGATCTCGGCCAGCTCTGCCAAACAATCCTTTGCCCAAGCTCATGTCACCTTCGGGTCCCACCAGCATACCCTTCACAGAGTCAGGAGGAATCATGTACAATGTGATCAGCTCCTGTAGCATATCCCAGTGATCATGCGGGCTTCCCGACGAAAGCATGGAAGCCCCCCGCAAAGCATCCACATCGCCTCGCAAAATAGCAGCGCCCTGCTGGGAGACTTGGTAGTGCTTCAGGAGACGGGCTACCAAGATATCATACAAGCGCATCGAGAGGGCAGTCCAGAAGCCAGCGACTGAATGAGATGTCATCGCACTCTGGACATGCACAAATTGGACCCTCAAACAGTAAACCAAAGACTCGACCGCGGGGCTCAGTGACGAGTCCATATTGGCCCCTTGTGGAACAGCATACGGGCCCTGGCAACGACAAAAAATGCGTGGAAAGATCGGTTAGCCGCTTTTCCAGCAACGCTACACTCACAAAAACTGCCCAAACTTTGATACTTACTGCTGACGAACCGGTGATATTGGCCATTAGACGATTTGCTCCCGTTGCCAGCATGCCTTCGCCGCCAGAAACCAAAATCCAGTGAATATGAGCACTGATGGAATCCAACGCTTTCATGATTGCGGCTTCACCCCGTCGTTCCAGCTCGGAGTAGAATTCAAACCGACAAGCTCGGGCCTTGGACATGGAGTCCTGATCATCACAACGCTCCAAAATCTCCCAAACACGTCCCGTGTCGGCTCGTCCTTCCGCCCACATTTCTCGATCAAAGGCTTTGGCCGCAGAATGTAGGCGTTCCAAACACACCCAAAAGTGCTGCTCTACTCCCAGGTCATGAGCAGGCATGTCTTGGTTGAATGGCAATTGGGGTGGCTGAGCCGGGGGATTGGTTTTGCGAGTATCCCTCAGAACTTCCATAATGGGATATAGGAATCCTTCTCCATAAAAGGAACACATTTGACTGTAGATACTGCAGACAACTCGCGCTGTAGTTTCGCCTCCCTTCTTTTTGCCCGACGAAAACATCAAACGCGCCCTCGCCAAGGACTCTGTGGCATGAACCAAAGGCTGTAGCAGAACGGACTGCTTCAATGGCCCCGACAAGAGCGCATTCAATCCGGACTTCAAGAGTTGCTGTTTGTCCAAAGGTACCACTGGAGCCCGGTATTCCTCCAGAATTCCCTTTTCCGCCAGGGTCGAGTCCCTTCGCCTTGGAGCAGGTGGGATGAGGAGCGTGCATCCAGACTTGTCCAAACTGGAACAGCATTGATGATGCAGCAATCGCAATTCCAGATTGATGTAGCCCTGTCGATGGGTATTGCTGAGTGACAATTCTTGTGAGGTCAGGAATCCTTTGAGAGACTCGACTGCATTGCGCGCAATGGCTTGCGACTGACGACTGGTAGAGTCCAATCCCTTGTTCTTGAGATCAGAGTCAACCGACTTCTTGGCGGTCTCTTTGAGGATCATCTTTTGAGCCGAATCCTTGAGCAAGGAAAAGAGTCCAGAAGCTTTTTCGTGAATCACAACAAAAGTGTCAAGCTTCTTGGACCCCGCGTCAAAGTCACCTCTCTGATCAATACTGGCCAGAATGTCGTTAATCCTCGCCTGCAATCCATTGATGGGATCACTAATGACCCGCTGCAAGAGAGCCCTCGCCACCACCAATGGCATGGGTTCATTTCCTTCGAGAGGATCGGCCCTGGTTTGATCGGACCCGAATACGTGCGCAATGAGTTCAAATTCTGCCGAACAGACATCGGACACGCGATGGAACAGAGTCGAGAGATTCGATCTTGTAGCATCCATATCAAATCCCTCTTCTTCCTTGCGGTGTCGTGGTGATCTTTTTTCATTGGCTTTCTTTTCAAATAGTTCTGGGAATCGCGAGGTAATCACCATGTCCACGTATCGCTTGTGAAGATTGCGTCCCGAATCAAACATGAGCAATGCTTCTGCCAGAGCTTGCAATTCACGCCAATCGATGGATCCAGGACGTGGTTTCAATGAGAAATCGTAGGATCCTCCTTGTGCATAAATCTCCGAAAAGGAATGCAAGAGTCGTTGTTCCAAAGCATCGGACGTTCTGGTAATGAGATTTGCCGTCCAATCGAATCGTTGCGAGGGCGACTGATCGGTTCCACCTCCACCGGCACCCCCAACAGCGGGTGCGGCCGTTGCCGCCGCCGCAGCAGCAGTCGATGCCGATGTGGATGTGGCATTGCCTCGCGACCGCACTACAGCTCGCAATTGTTTCAATGCCCGCGCCGCTTCCAAAGACTGTTCGGGTCGTACAAAAAGCGGATTCATGCGACATGACGTCGGCGGAATGACTCCTCGTACTTCTTCTTCCACCTTGATGGTATTGTTGGTACGGGCTTCCTCTTCCGCTAATGCTTCCAACATCCACCACAAGCGAATGAGTTTGGAAGTAGCTTCGCATTGTCGTCGTTTGGTTTCGGCAAATTCGAGTTGATGTCCAATTTGCAATGCCGCCCTACCATTGACTTGAAACTGATCTTGAATTTCCTCGCATTTGGTCAATGCCGTGCGCAAAAACAACTCGTGCGCTTCGAGACGAATCGAATAGGATTCTTCTTGACTGAGTACTTGCTGTGCCGCCGAAGCGCATTGTTTGTGTGTGATTTCGACCAATGACTGACACATGTTACTGGCTTCTTGCAACATGGCACTCATGTCATCTTCTTCCCCGCCTGCTGCCGTGGTGGTGGTATTGGCACCTGCAGCTCCTTGTTCGAGGAGAGAATCGAGAATAATGGCAGGATCCATGACATCTGGCAAGGGATGTACGACCGGTGGAGGCTCATTGTCTTTTTTCTTGTCCTTTTTCTTTTTCTTGCCATCTTTGGATTCCTTCAATGCCTTGGCTCTGGCTTTTGCTCCTTCTTCCGCCTTTTCCGTGTAAGTCGTGGGGAGTGGACAATAGACAAACAGTTCCAATGCCTTTTGCCATCGTGCCAATTGCAATTGTTGTCGTTCCGCCGGTGACAGAGTATCCATTTCCTTCTTTTTCTTATTGTCATCTTGTGCTTGCAATAAATCGTTCCAAATTTGCTGTGAATCCGTCTGCAACTGATCAATAATGGTGTTGCGTTCTTCTAGAATTTCCTTGCGTTTCATCCATACGGGATCATTTTCCAATCGATACGTCCGCAATCGTCTCAAATCTTGTTCTAGCGCTGCCTTGGCTCGAGCGCGATGCAATCGCACATCTTCTTCTGCTGCAATGAGCAAGGTTCGCAGTGTGGCGCCAGTGGGTGCTGTGGCGGCACTGACGGGAGGTGTGGTATTGGGGACGGCATGTCCGGCAGCAATCATTTTTTCTTGTGCCGCAATGGCCGCGGCAGCCACTTGTTTGGCTTGATGTTGTAGGGATGCCATGGTCTTGGGCATGTAATACAAAATCGGTTCGGCCGCGGCAGGATTGTACTGGTACGATTTGGGAATGTAATCATGGACCGTCATTTCGCCACTCTTCTTGCCGCGCATGGCCGAAGATGTAAAGCCACTCGTATAGCGACTGCGGACGCCGCCTCCTCCTCCACCACTGGCAGCAGAAGGATTGCCATTGCCACTTCCACCCGCTCGAAAATCCAATTCTCCCACCGAGTCTTCTCCAAAGAGCGGATTTTCATTGCCGTCATCGTCTTCGTCGTCCACGGGGAGCGAACCGGCCGATATCAGGTTACTGCTGCGGCGGTTTTGTCTCACCATCTTATTATTGTAGTAGTAGTAGTAGTAGTACTGCACTAATAACTACTACACTACACTACCCAGGCAAGGCCTTCTATCTCTACTGTTGGATGCAGCAATGGTGGAAAAGCACGACAGCGTGCGGAAGATCCGATCCGCTTTGGATCATTGCCGTTGCTTTTTTGCTTCTCTCTTAGGGATAACCCCAACGGCTGAGAGCCAGCCGTTGCCTACTTCGAGTTAGCCGTTGCTCACAAGATTTGCTCGGTGGTACGGTACGGTGGTACGGGCATTGAGAAGAAGGATTCAATGTAGCTGGAGGCGGCAGAGGTAACACGGTGTAATAGTCTTTATGTATTTATTCAAAGTTTCGAGTCCACAAAAGCAGCCACATTGAAACTAGCAACTGATGGTGACCGCTGGCACTAGGCGCATCCAGAAATCTTGCACCTGAGAATCCAAATCCTTGAGTACTAGAAGTAGTGTCTAGCTACGGTAGCTAGAGAAGTCCGGCAAGGCAAGATGCAGTTCAGACTCTTCTACTAACCTCCAAGTTGATCAAGCAGTCCAAAGGGTACAAAATACCAGAGTTTTCCAGTCCGTGCTACAAGTGAGTTGTTGCAGAAGTTGCTGCCTTCACATGTACGTATTCAAGTATTATAGAGGGAATAAAAGATCTCGTCAACTCGTCAACATCTTACACACGACCGATTAGGTAATGTCAGATTCCAGATCCTCCTGAACCGTAGAAAGCAGAGGTGTGCATTGTAATTTCAATCCAAACGTCACTCCAACGTGAAGGTATGGTCAAAAGCATCAGTTGGTTGAAGTTTGTCGTCGTTGGCTGATTGATCAGGATTCTTGAAACACAAAAGAAGGCAAGTTCTGCCGCCTGAACCAAACACAGTAGTCTACAGCCTCGATGATGACTGCATCAAAAGCCAGTCGTAGAATTTTACGGCGCTTTTGCGCTTTTTATCACTTCAAGTATGAAATTCCAAGGGCAGGGATTTAGTTGTCCGTCTCCCATCCAAGACTTCTTGCTTGAACCACTGGCATGAGTTCTTGTTGATACCAGTGGCCCGAGAACAGGAAAGATCCCAGTCAATAGCTGAATTTAGGCAAGATGTCCGTCTTTGGGGAATGGGATTCTTGACACCCTGAAAAAATAGTATGACCCTGAAAAAATGGCACTTGTGTAGTCGTCACAGGGTGTTCATCCAACATGCATCGAGTGAAGAGCTCCCTATATAAATCTGCATGTTGGTTAAGAGCTCCCTATATCTCCATCTTGGTGGTTATCAACCGATCGCACTGAGGGGGTGTACGATCCGATCAGTGTACGATCACTGATGTTGGGGCTTTTGTATCCTTGGTTTTCTTGTCTTGGACCTACTAGTACTGTGGCTGACCATGTACTACTGTATGTCTTGTCGGTTGGTCGCCGGTACAGCAGCAATTTTTGGAAGCTCGAATGACGATCCGAGAATTCCTGGAAGGGAAGCGAGACAACGAACTTGCCACAACAGTCTGGCATGGCAATGCCTCTATACTAAACGTCTCTTTGGATGATCGACTTGGTTTCGCCAGGGGACAGAATTTCTTGGGCTCCCGACCGAAGAAGGAAGCTGAAGTACACTGGTTTGTTCCAGTTGATAGACATGCCGCCAGCCAGGGAAGATTGCAGCTTGACCAACCCGTCTGCAGGAGCTTCTGTAGGTTTGGCTTCACCAACAATGAACAATAGGGAACATTTTTTCCTGCTTTGGAACTGTAGAAGCCACCGGACGTGGCTCTTTAGGTTCTGGATTCGATTGACTCATTCTGATAGTAATAATCCAGAAATAGATATTATTGAAACTGGTTCGAGAGCCTCGAGGCAAGGAGAGGAAGTGGGAGGGTGGTTGGTCTGGTACCAGCTACCGGCTACCGGTAATAAGCAAGTTTACAGAGGGTTCACTGAGATGGTTTGGAGCTAATGAGGGCTTGTAAGAGTTGTAAGGTTTCCGGTTTCCTTTTGGCTTCGCCTTTCGCCTTTCGCACACCAGTGTACCCAGTACCGGTTTAGCTTGGAGACTAATAACAAGCTGGTAACGGTGGCCGAAATACAGTCACAGTTCAAGGTGATCAGTCTCATAAATCTATTCTCCTTTCTTTGAAATCTAATCCCGTTTTTACAAGCGAAAAGGTACAGTACAAGACTGCCGTACTTTTGCCGCGCATGTAGTTGTCTTTTACAGTAATAAGTAACAAGTTTGCGGAGTGCCGAGTGTGGTGTTCATCAAAGCAAGGGCACAAAGGGTTTAAAGTGCAAATGTACTATTAATAGGAAGGTGTCTTTCCGAGCTCTTTCCGTCTTTCCATCAGCAAATAATAATCAAGTGCTCGTCGCTTGCCACTTTCTGTTCGCTTTTCGGAGCTGTTTGTTGTGTTTGCCTGCCTCCAGGCCCCAAGGTACCAGTGGAGCATTTCCAAGCAAGTCCGATTATCCGCAATCCAGTACAGAACACGCAGGTGAGCGTGAAGCGTGAAGGAGTGAAATAGGATACAGTGTACCCGTCCCGGTACGCACAGTATAGTAGAGACGGTCAAGCAAACTAGTAAGACATGAGTGTCTTGGCAACTCCCTTCTACTAGCTAGTCTAGTAATCTATCTTCTACACCTTCTCTGTGTTCTTTTCTTCTTTTTGCTCACCATGACGTGGGCCTTTTGTCAATACCGAGGAACTCACTAGACTGCTCGAGTAATACATGTAGTAGGTTGGCTATTAATAGTTAATACATAAGCTTACAACATGTAGATCTCACTCAACCACCTACGATGTACCTACTGAGAGCAGAGTATAATATCACAAAGAAGATGATCGTAAGAGGCACAAGACGCCTTCGCAAGGGCCACTTCAGCAGAATGAAATCTTCTTTGAAACAATGGGGAAGCTATGGGCATGGCAATATTGACTTCAAGACTGCGTCGCTCGAACCGGTGACTGACTCTATTATTTGGAACAGCTATTTATTTGGACTGTACGCGTAAAGAGCAAACAGCTTAAGAGCTTTGCTCGTTCTCATTTTGTTCTGGGAGAGCATGATCCTGCAGCCCTAATGCATACTCGTACTCCAGTACTCCAGTACCGTACTATTGATAGCTCCAAACAGCTCTCCAAACTCCAAACACCCAAAAGCTATGTCAGCATGAGTCAGAGTTTTTTGCTTTCTGATTGACTTATAACTACGGAAGCCTCAGAGAATCAGAATGATCAAACGTGTCATCCAGGACTTCTATTCGAACACAGATGAACCCAGCCAAATCCTATCAATATTTCCTTTTCTTCAAAAGGCACGTGGGATGGAAACCTTTCTGGTGAAAGTCAAGTAGATCATACAGAACGTTATATAGTGAAAAACTGCTTACCAGTTTGCTTGCCCCACCTAACCCCTTTCTGGAAAAGTATCAAATCCATTGGACTCCGAGGATTCGTTCTCTGTGCTCTGTGCAGCATGAACAGGTTAGATCAATTGATTGCAATGCTTCAACCACCCACCTGGCGCAACCATTCGCAAGCTGGCAACTCTCCGGTACACTTCACACTTTGCTACAGTAACTATTTGGCTAGCTGAGCGTGCTAGTACCAGCTAGCCAGTGGTACATGTAGTTTTGCCCTTTTACGTTGTACGAGCCGACGGCTGGTACTCTTGGCTATTGATGCTGGCCTATAATGGCTCCTATTTATGGATAGTGGATAGTGGGTCGGTTTTGTTTATCTCTTCCATCACCTCTTCATTTTGATCACAGATCACCATCGAACCTTCCGCAGCGCGATAGCTACTACAGTACTCAGTACTAGTAGCCTCCAACCACACTACGCTCTGCGCTCCTGACGAATACCAAGCAGTTTGACCTTATTGCTCTGTCTTTTAGCAAAGATCTCGCAATTCCCAATCCTCACCTCAAAGTCTCACAATCTGATTTTCCAAAAAGAGTCGCAACATCACCACCGCATTGCTTCTTTAGAAGAGCACCACACATCCTATCATGTCCAATTTCAGCAGTGACTTTTTTCTATCTTCTGCCCTCGCCCCTTCCAACCATGGCAGTATCCCCATCAGGACACTCCTTGGCAAGAGAAGCCCCTCACCCCAAGCCATGGGTGCTGCGGGAGAGGGCATTCTTCACAAGAGACTGGCCACAGCCAACGACTTGACTGCTCGCGCTTCCTTGGCAACTGCCAACGTTGATTGGTTTGCTGACTCTGTGGTCGTCTATCAGCGCCGCAGAGCTGCTGAGTTGAATGCACTGGCCAGTCTCCAAGCTGCCAATACCGCTCGAGTGTTGCCCACCACTACTCACTCTGCTCTCCTGAACAGCACCGCTATCCCTGGAAGGGCAACTCTTTCTCCTCGAGCCCGCGGAGTTGCCATGCTTCTTCAAGCAAGGCGGGAGGCTCCTTCTGCCAGCACGGCGGCTTTGTTGAACTTGTTCCCTTCTGCGTCCGCTGCCCCAGCCCCCACTCCTCATATGAATAGTCTGGTCGCTCAAGCTAACCTCCGCAGGATGTCTGCCCAAATGACCGCAACAGCAAGCCCTGGAATGGTCGCTCTTGGAGATGCTCCTGACCCGGTTGGGTTATCTCTCCCTCAGACTGCCAGGGCCAGTCCGAATCCTCTTGACGAAGAAGTGGCACGCAGCAAGCTCCCTTGCATGCCCTTGGCCAGTGAAGAAGACCACAATTGGTTGTCCGAGTTTCACACCTTTGTCCGCAACGAAATCGTGGAGGTGTGCTTTGCCACCGCCGATGATGTCGCAGCCCGCAACATCAGTCAACAGGTGTTCCTGAACCAAGTCGGAATTCGTTGCAAGTGCTGTGCTGACATGAACCCCGCCGAGAAGGCTCCACGTGCCATGGCTTTTCCCTCCTCGATTGCTCAGATCTATCAGAGCTTCACCATGATGCTCAGGTAAGGAAAAACCTGTGTCGCGCCCATCAATTAGTGATGACATACATCATTTCACTCACAGGTCGCTTCTTTCTGCATTTACCAGGGAGCACTTCACACGTTGTTCGGGCATGCCAGAGGACATCAAGGAGAAAATCGTGGCCCTCAAGCAAGGAAAGACCGCTCAAGGTGCGACCAACTCGAAAGAGTTCTGGGAGCATTCCGCCAAAGGCCTCGGTATGCGAGATACCGAAAAGGGCATTATCATGACCGAGCGAACTCGAGCGGCTGCCAAGTCACTCCTTCCATATGGAGCTGATGCTGCTCAACAGCAACTCCAGAAGGACGAGCCCATTCAAGTGATCTTTGACGACGAAAAGGAAATGGCACAATCGGACTACAATTTCACGCTCCTCCGCCAAGTCCAACGCGTTCACCTTCACGCCGATGAATGCCGTGGCAATCGCAAGACACTTCAGGTGGGATTGCCCGGCTTGGCCTGCAAACACTGCAGCCTTGTCGGTCGCATGGGACAGAGCCGCGTATTTCCCGTCAAAAAGCGCACCCTCTCCACCAAACTGGAAGACATGTACCAGCATTTGATGCGCTGCACAGTCTGCCCCTCCGAAACCAAGGAATTGTTGAAAATTCAAAGGCCCACGAAGATTGATTTCAGTAAAGAGAGAAAGCTCTATAGCTTGGTGTGGACACGAGTCAAGAAGAACCCCGATGCTGGACGCCCCAGGGCGTCGGCCCGTCCAGCTGCTGTCACCAGCGCGTAAAAACATCTTCTTCCAATGTTTGTGCCCATGGATTGATCGAGTGGCCTGCAAATGAAAAACTAAGAAGATCGGTTGCTTTTTTCTCGCTTCCTTCCTTCCTTCCTTCCTTCCACGTCCAAATCCAGTACTGTACTCGTACTTCCATACGGTATCCCCATCAGAAATTTTACACATTTGAAGCTGATATGACCTTGCTGTACCGGCACGGTAGCCGTGGGGATTGCCTCAAATTACTGGCTCTGGAGGAGACATGCAGCGAGTGAGCGCCCTTCTCCCCGTACAATCACAGCACAAGCGAAACTTTCATAAGATACACGTACATGCATGAACCATCACTTTTTGAAACTGGTAGAATCATCAACAGTAGCGGAATTGGAGTGGCTCAGCCATCAAACTCGGTCCTTGTCGGACACTGTGTATCCCGCAACTGTACGACTTAGCAGGGCAACATCAGTTCCCACGGTTCTTGACACCCATCAACAGTTGTTGCCTGCATCCATCCTCATTCCATCAATCTCTCCGAAAGGGGGCGTTGTAGTCTTAGACTCGTGGAATACCAGCCAACGATGATGTTGCCTCCTTCGTAGAGAGCTTCATCTCCCTGCCGTCCTCCCTATCATTGGTTGTTTGTTTCCACGGCAACAGTGCTCCTCTTTGGCTGAGGATGACAAAGGAGGGGCTCAGGTAGTATCTGGGTGTTAGGACAACTGTTCCAGCCAAAGCAATCCTCCACAGCAAGGAAAAAGAGTCCCTGCATCCCTCTTTGAATGAAACAAATGATGGGAAAGCTTCATGCATTGCTGGTCTGGATGTCTGAATTCCAGTCCAGTCAAAGCAAGAGGACAACAAATTTTTTTGATCATTGACGATTAGGCGGTACACTTTGAAGGAAACTACGATCATCTCTCAGGCGTCAGGAATGACCTCAGATATCTCCCTTTCTACTTCTTGCCATGTTTGTTGAGTGTGTAGAGTGGAGCTCAGAACTACAATCTAAAAGTCATCATCATGATACCGGTAGTTTTGCCACGGGCCACGATGGTACGCCACGTGCACTCGCACGGGGGGTGGAGAAAATCCGAAAATTCAATGCTCACAAGTGGCTTTCAGTCAGGGAACAACTTCCAACCACTGCCAACCTTTGTATTGGCCAAACAGTAGGTCTTTTCACCACTGCCTACAACGGTCTTCCCACTGCCTACAACTGTCTTACAACTGTTTACCAATGTCTTTTCAACACTGTTTACCACTCCTTACCACTGTCAAGAAGATAGTGGTTGACAGTGCCACTGTTTACCACTGTCTACCATTGTCTTGATCATGGTTTACCTTGTTGGAATGGGATTGCACAGAATTTCTCCACCCCCCGGACAGTGCATCGTCAGTGAGGGTAATAGCTAGCGACCAGGCTATATTTTAGGACGGTTGAGCTATTTGAGCACCCTAAGTTTCGCCCTGGCCGGACACTCGCAGGGCACACATTTAACCTATCGCTGCGGGTAGCAGAATGGTGCCTGGTGCCGGCATGAATAATGCGTAAGGGAAGGTTGCAAGGTGTTGATGGAGCTATTGATGGTGCGAAAGACATTCTCCTTTGCTCGTGCAGATTCAAGATCTGGTCTACTGGTAGTACTGTGCAAGCCAGCGAAAATGTAGATTGTCGATACTGGTATCTCGCAGTCAAAGTACGCGGCTAAACGTAGAACATAATCCCTTCGGGGAAAGTGTAATTAATAAGTTAACAAAGTACGCGGATGAGCGCAACCTGATTTGATTCATCGTTCGCTGGAGTACGTACGTTATAGGCTGTCCTTCGTTCCCAAGCTTCCTTTTTCCCTCGGGTATGGGATCTTGCCATGCCAAATCCGAAGGCAATCGATACCTTCCGGGCAGGTGCTCGATGGCGAACCCCGAAAGAATACACGGAGAAAATACGACAGAGAAAGGTGTTCCCAAGTACCATCTTCCAACTTGCAATATTTGCGCTTCTAGCTAGTGATTCGCGGTGAATCTTGCTATTCTGAGCTACGGTATATGTCGAGGCAAGGACTTTTTTCATCTTTTACGCTATGTTAGTTAGTACTCCGGTTAGACCGTTTCCCTTGGATTCATTCCATCATTGCTGCTGCTGCTCGTCCTCACCAGAATAGTCATCTTCTGCATCTTCACCCACGGGACGAAGCCAGTTGGGGTGAGGAAGCCAAATGCCATCGGTACCGGCATCGTTGGTGTCGTCGTTTTCATTGTCATTGCCGTTAATATTCATGATGCTGAGTCCTTGAAGGCCGTCGTTGAGACTCTCAGTTTCCTCGGATGTTGGCAAAGTTGTTTGTTCGTGTGAAGCTTCCATTGTCTTATCGTTATTGTTGGGTTGCATTCTGTTTTTTCGGGGGCTGTTCTCCAGTTTGGGTTCCAAGAGAATTGTGAGCACCAACCACTGAGCTTCCTGGGTTGTTGGTGGCAGGTTTCGGCAGTTCAAGCCCACGGTTGAAGAAGACACGCGAACCAAATCGAACAATCAAGATGAGAAAGGGCTAAGGCTTTTGCCGCCAACAATCATTCCCTGTTCATCTGAAACACGCCTTTTACGTCAAAAGAAATAAATCTTTTTGTTCGTTCTCCTTTTGGCCGTCGAAACGATCACAAAGATTTATTTGTTTGGATCTCGCAGACCGTCGTTGCAACGAGCAAGTCGCTGTCAGCCAACAAGGAAAGAACAACCACAAGAAACAATTAACTAAGTTAACATTGGCAACAGATCAGAAAGAAAAAGTCAAGAGAGAAGAGACAACAATGATAGTACCAGTTGGATCCAAACCAATGCTGACGGTCATTATCATTTTGCTCTGCCAGTGTTGTTTTGTTGCTGCCTACAAGCAATGCGCTCCGGAAGATGGTGGTGGCATTTGTCCTGACCACAGTACTTGCTGTCCAACAGGCACTCCTGGGGTTTCCTCCTGTATTTCTGCCAAAGTAGGAGAGACGGGAACCTGTTGTTCGGACGATGGTCTCGGGGTCACGGGTTGTCCAACAGGATACGAATGCAAGAAGAGAGGGCAAGATCAACAAACTGAAAAGAGAAAATTGCGATCAACCAGTCAGCAGCAGGTTCCATTCGAAATCAACAGCAACAGCAACAACCAGTCAGACCTCTACTGCCATCGATTGGATCCAGATTATGATGGCCCCCGGCCCAAGCCCCTCGCTGTTCCGCGTTATAAGCTCTGCGCGTTACCCCACAAAGTCCTGACACAAGTGTATGGGTTGCCCATGAATGAGGACGTCTCACCTGGAATAGCGACAACGAGCTCCGACACTGCTGGTGTTGTTGAGTCTTCCAAAAAGAAGAAGAACGTGGCCTATTTTTCCACCATGGGATCCTTGGACTCGCACAACCCTTCCGACTTGAAAAATCATCAGCGAGTCAAAACGGCCTTGATCATGATTCATGGATCCGGCCGTACCGCGGAAGATTATCTCTATGGGGCCGTCTCCTCGTTGCCAAAAGAACAACAAGATCCCAACAATGCCACCATCCTGGTCTTGTCCCCTTGGTTTTTGGATCCACAAGACGACAAGTACCTGGATGACAGCAGCAACGGTGATATTAACTCTCAGCAGCAACAACAACAGAATGACAATATACCGGTCCCTCTTCCACCTCATACGCTTCGATGGATTGAGAACGGTGATGTCCTGGCACATACGTGGCGATATGGCGCTCCCGCCATTCATTCCAACAACATTAGCTCGTTTGATGCCATGGATCGCATGGTGGAAACGCTAGTGGCGTTGCAAAACAAAAACAACCGATTTCCCGCCTTGGAACGCATTCTGGTAGCGGGTCATTCGGCGGGAGGACAATTTGTGCAACGATGGGCGCTCCTCTCCAACAGTCCTGCGTGGAAGTCAGCCAAAGTTGCCATTCGTTCCATCCCCGCCAATCCTCGCTGCTTTGCCTATTTGGACGATCGACGATTTGTATACGACAGTGATAACGATAACAGTATGAGCTTTCAACGTCCCAGCAATGCCACAATTGTTTCGTGTCCGGACTACAATGAATGGATTTGGGGATTGGATCCAGGTGGAGATGTTGTGGCGCCCTACAAGGACCACGCCATTGCGGCGGCGGGAGGGATCCAGGCGCTGTCGCATCGCTATGTGACGCAGCGTCGAGTCGTGTACTTGGCGGGTGGGGAAGACTTGCAAGTCTTTGCCGATGACTGTGGATCGGTGATTCAGGGGAACACACGACGGGAAAGGTCTCGTCGGTTCATGATGTCACTCTGGGAGGCATATCCCAAAGAAATGAAGGCGCAACTTCATACACGGCTGGTGGTACCAGGGGTTCCTCATGATCATGCACTCATGTTTCAGAGTGCGGAAGGACAAGAAGCTCTGTTTGGAACGGAAGACAGAAATGAGAAAGAAGGGATGGAAGTACTCGTACCAATCGTGATGGAATAAGGGTTCTTGTTCATACATGGGCAACGACAAACGACTCAGTCTAGCTAGTGGGCGTCCAGCAGTATTACAACCTTCTAATGCGTTCCGCTGGAGCGGTACTCGTACCGGTACATACACGTGATGTGACGGGATAGCTATCCGTGTTGAGTATATTAATAGTACAGTGTAGCAACGAGACCTAACTTGCCAACTATTTTCGAATATTGATTGGTCAATTCAATAGTCGCCTTCTTCATTCAATACTTACAGTCTACAACACTACGCCACGGCATCGAACAGTGCTTCAGTTAGTTCTTGGCTGGCAATGAGTTTCCAGGCGCGAACAATAAATGCACAGCGTCTCACTTTAGAACGCAGCCATGATGGGCCCGACGGAAGACTCCGACTCGCGAACATTCCAGCACCCAGACGAATACCGATATCCATACATGTACTATCAGCTGAAAACCCAGCATTGATCCCGAGCGTCGCCGCAGCAGAAGGAAACATCGCAGTCTTCACAAGTCATGACAATACCCAGTCCTCTTTCAGACTCTTTTTGCCGAAGTCTGCTATTTCATTTCGTACTTTCTACATATCGCCTCAATAGTGGCAGCAACACATTGGCAGAAAGACCGATGCAAGTACAGTGGCCTTCACGTATATCCATAGAGAAATGACCAAGTGAAGCTATTGTTTCTTGGGGATGCCAACTTACACAGACACCACAACTCTTTCCCTTTCTTGGCTACTTTGAGAGAACTTTGTGCTGAAATCACAGAAAGCTACAGCTCTTGAACTTCCACAATTGTGGCTCTTGCAAAAGTGGTGGACACAGCTGGCACAAAGCCAACATTGTTCCCTTCAAGTTGTGCTTTCAGAGTGGAAATAGCTTGAACGATTGGCTGGTCATTGACAGAGATAGAGAAAGACCCTTTCAATGTGCCACCCTCTGATAAATCGAGGAAAACAGTCACAGTTGATCCTGCTCCAAACTCGGCAGGACCTCTGTGGAAACGTCTTTCGTGGCAAAATACTTAGGAGACGATACACCGAGGAATAGGAGACGATCGAAATGATTTAAGAGACGAAAGCAATCGTCTCCTATATTTAGGAGACGATTCAGTAGGAGACATTCCAATTAGGAGATGATCGTTTCGAAATAGGAGACGATCCGAAAGATTTAGGAGACGATACCATACAGTTTACATGGTACACTTAGGAGACGATCCGTTGAAAATAGGAGACGTTTTAAGAGGAGACAAAAGATTTAGGAGACGATCCGTTTCGTCTCCTATTTTTAGGAGACGAAATCCATTTTATTAAATAGGAGACGATCAAAAGGATTTAGGAGACGAAAAGTAGCACGACTCGAGTTTCCACAGAGGTCCAGTGGAGCCAAGCTGGGAACCAGGACCGTCCCACGTTTTTCACTCATGCACTCAGGATTTTGAAAAACTTCAAATTTCCACGACTGGAAACAAGCCCTTAAACAAGCCCTAAAAAAAAAACCTTAACAACAAGCCCTTAAGTTCTCAAAACGAACACTTAAGCCTTCATGTAAACCCCATAGAACAAGCCCTTATCAGGAGCAAACAAGCCCTTAAATAAACAAGCCCTTAAAACAAACCCATAAAGCTTCAACAAGCCCTTAAACAAGCCCTTAGAAAACAAGCCCTTAATTGTACTGGAGTCAGTCGTGTCAAGTTTTAAAGCCTGAGTGAAAAACGTCGGACGGTCCAGGACTTGATGCACCATTGGACCAATCAGCTCCAATAGTGCCATGGACTCCCCAGCAACCTTTTTGATGTTCACCAAACGTTTGCAAGCTCAGATTGGCAGAACTTTTTGCTACACCAAGCCAAATGTCCCCTAAAAGAGGTCTTGAATCCACTGTAATCTTCCACTGAAACTTTCCCTTTGTCATGGGTGGGCACTCCAGCGAGTCAAAATTCCATTGGTGACAACGAGTTGCTGTCATAGTTGACTTTGAACTTTTCCAAGTGTAAGCACCGTACCCACGCAAACCAGTACTTTCAAAGGAAATGTTGTGCTTGTGCTTGGCTCTCCTTGCTTGTTGCTGAAAGGCATTGTAGAGTTGCTCTGTTGTCACCAGCCCTGACGATGAAACCCAAGTAGACAAGTCTGGGTCAATGAATTCAAGCTCAATGTGGTTTTGCACCAGGTTTTTGGCTGCTTTTTGACGATCTTCTTTGATTCCATGACCGAGAATGGACGGTTCACTCTTGGACCAGTCACTGACCAACTTGAAACATACCACATCACCAAGCCTCACGGCATCATCACTGAGGATGGCTTCTAGAAGGGTACCATTTATACCACCAAGTACATCTTCATTGAATGCTCCTGACTTGCTCAGGCAGATGCTTCTGCAAGCTTGGTTCTTCAATTCCTGGGATATCACTGGACCCTCCTGTTTCGAGGCTGCCAATATGGAGATACCAAAGCATGGAAATTCACGTAGCATGTTCTCAAGGCCTTTCTGAGCGTGTTGGCAGAGGCTGGGCAATTCAACATACATGGCCGCCTCTGTCAATGAAAGCAAAACTTGGAATTTCTCCATATCATCCACCAGAATCTGAGAAGATGAAACAGCAGCATCAGCAGTATCAGCAATGTTAGCCAAGATACTAGTAGTGTCAGTATGGACATATTCTACAATTGCCTTTAGAACAAGACTGGGAAAACCAATGGGTACAACATCATTGTTCGCTTCCAAGAATGCTCCTTTCTGGAACATTGTGTTGAAATATGGACTGCGTACAGACAAGGTCATACGATTGGCACGGATCGTCCCTCCATCTGTGCCTTGCAAGGAGACATCACAGTAGGCGTCTTCTGCCAACAAGGCAAATGCCTTGGAAAGGGGAACCTCCCCAACCTTGGTCGACATGGTTGTGTGAGTTCAAGAGTGCCAATAGCGCCAGAACCAAAAAGATAGACTACTAGTATCGTTTGCTGTTGCTGAATTATGATGAGGGCTGGAAAGCTTCCTTCCGAGCTTCACCTCAAAGCTTCTCTCCAAAGCCCGCATCCTGAAACTAAGCCTCCCCACTGGCCCATGGCCTGGCACTCGATGTCTTCCATAAATAACCTCTCTTTTTAGAATGATGAATCTCAAACCCTTGGCAGTACTGTACTGTATGGTACTCAACAAAACGAATACTCAGTACTAAATAGATATGATACGTTAAGGAGTGAGGGGGCGAGCTAGGCAGAGCAGTGGCTGCGGTGGTGGGTGACCGTATGGTACTTGAGTACAGCTGTACTACATGTAGAACCCGTGGAGGTTATCAATGTCATGCATGTGCATGTTCCTGGCGTGTCCACGTTCATGGCTGCGACGTGATTGAAACCCTTTGATGACGTCATCAGTTTGAGATCTTCCCAACACGATGGCCATCACACCCAATAGTCTACAGTACTCCTACCTTTATGGTACCAACAATCTCCCATTCCCCCTACCTACAGAGACTTGGATCAACAACCTACCACCTCATAGCTCCACTTCCTATACCCAACTACAATCTGCTCCCGCTGGTCTTCTTCCACTGGCAGACAAGCACTACACCCCTCCCCCCAACCTGGATACCACAATCACACCACTCCCATCCAGTGGCTCACCATTCCTGGCACTCAATCTCCACTCACTTGGGAACCACACCTTTAGATCCATGCC